GAGTAATACAAATTTGTTAAACTACACCAGATAGGAAAAATTATATTGGGTATTATCAGCCCAGAGGGCATGTCTATGGTTAAAAGCTCCCCCAACAATAACAGGCTCAGGTAAAGAGTTAAGAGGTGATTAAGATAATGAACAAAATTGTGAGGAGAAAGATTAATGGAACAGATGATATACCATTCCATTAAAAAATACTTTACAATAATTATAGGAAAAAAATTGCACAGTAAGAGTGGAGAACATGAGCAAGATTTGGGAAATTGGGGGATGGGGAAGCATGGATAAAATGAGCCCCCTTCACCACAAAGGCAAAACACTTAAGGAGAGCAGTACATGAACTATATTTCATAATGCAGCACTGCATTTTAATAATGGTAGTGTACAGCATTATACAGGTTAAAAACAATTTATTTTTTTTTGGTCTAGTGCTTTATTTGTACAATGCACTTACAGCAATATATACAATCACATTTCGCTATGCACGTACAAGTGAAGAAAAATAAATACAGAAAGATAATAAAATTTATAAATGCACGAGTTGAAGAATATAGAGGGAGAATGATAAAATACAGAGTACAGGTGAAGAAATTTGAAGGTTAGTGCATCAACATCTGTAGTTGGGTCTGTGTAGACTAGGTGTGGCGAGGAACCAGTCTTAAGTCTCACCCAAGAAATAATTAAACACTTTTCATTAATATAATGAAATGTATTTTCAGTCTTATGCAACATAAGTATTTTCATACATTAGCCATGAATTATTTAAACTTACATATATCTGTTACCATTCCACCGTACTTATTGGGGGAATGGGGAAAATAATGTAAATTCCTATTGTAATGTTTGACATTTCCAACAGAAACATGTGTAATTATGTATTATATAGTGTGTAATAATATAAAATATATATATATATATATATATATATATATATATATATATATATATATATATATATATATATATATATATATATATATATATATATATATATATATATATATATATATATATATATATATATATATATATATATATATATATATATATATATATATATATATATATATATATATATATATATATATATATATATATATATATATATATATATATTATACACATACAATGTATAATATATATAGTGTATTACATATATATACCAGTATATACTGTATATATATTCAGTAGAGTAATTGAAATTTAATTCCCACTCCAACAAAACTTGGTCCAAAACTCTGATGTAACAGAGATTAACTTATGATCTGAAGTTTGGTTACAACACAGCAATCCATTTGAGTAAGTAAGTAATTGTCAAAAGAAGACACCAAGCCGGGAAGGCTACGTAGCACCATCAAATGTGCGGAATAATCAGAGGGCGCTAAACATCACCAAGGATGCCAATACGAGAACAGAAACGCATAAGGCGAAAGATATCAAAAGTATCCAATTCACCAAGAATTCTATCGAGGGCCAAGTGACCGCGAGGGACAGCCGGGAGGCAAGAAACACATACGTTCTGGAAATCGGGACATTCAACAAGGATATGCACGACCGTAAGAGGCAAATTCAGTTTGGACAAGGAGTAGGGCGGTGCTCCATTCCCCTGAGTTATACGTGTATTGCCAATATGTAACCTCGCCAGAGCTGTTTCCCACTGCCGGTTACGGCGATAGGAAGAAGGCCATGGGGGGTACACTACTCTTTAAGAGCATGCAGTTTGTTACCAGTAACAGGGAGATGTGGAGCAGAAGTAAGTAATTATTAAACAAAGGCACCAAACTGGGAAGGCTATGTAGCACCATCAAATGTGAAGAATAATCAGAGGGCACTAAATATCACCAAGGATGCCAATATGAGAACAGAAACGCATAAGGCGTTTCTTATGATATCGTTTCAATGATATCAAAAGTATCTGATTCACCAAGAATTCTATCGAGGGACAAGTGGCCGCGAGGGATGGCCGGAAAGCAAGACACGCGCGTCGTGGAAGTCGAGACATTCAACAAGGATATGCACAACTGTAAGAGGTACAATGCAGTTAGGACTATAAGGAGCAGGGCGATGCTCTATTAAGTATCCGTGAGTTAAGCACGTATGGCCAATATGCAATCTTGCCAGAGCCGTTTCCCTCCGCCAGTTATGGTGGTAGGAGGAAGGCCACAGGGACACATTACTCTGAAGAGCATGCAGTTTGTTACAAGTAACAGAAGACAAACAACCCTGTCAACGGGCAAGGATGGAGGAATGAATAACTGGGTAAAAGTTGGAATAAGGCATACCTTTACGGGAGATGGGACAAATGCGGATAGCTTCCTTAGCGGCAGCGTCCCCACGCTCATTTAAGAGACGCCAATATGGCTGGGAACCCAGCAAAACTCTACTGACTTATATCTCCTGGAGATAAGAAAGAGCCAATGTTGAATTTCGACTACCACAGGATGGACTAAATTAAAGGACTCCAGAGCCATGAGGGCACTGCGAGAGTCGACTACAACAACAGAGGAGGATTGACAGTGAGAAAGCAGTTGACAAAGAGCATATAGAATAGCATAAAGTTCTGCCATGAAGATGCTAGTCTCTGGAGGCAGGCGACACATATAGATGTGTTCAGGAAAACGACATAGGCAACAAACAAGCCTATGTCTGCAGACTTGGACCCATCGGTGAAGACAGAAATAGAGAAATAGAACGGGAGTGTGAAGAAAAGTGTTCTAGGAAAAGGCGTTTCAGAACTGTAAGACGGGTAAAAGCTTTAGTCACGTGGGTCAAAGTTTTACAAAATTTAGGAAAGTGGATCCTCCATGGGGTGGGGGGGGGGGCAAAGATTGAAAAACAAGGGGGAAATACTGGTAACATGGACCTAAAGAGCATTTTGTAAGCGAGACCACCGTACAGAAAGAGGTGGGTGGTGAAGGGGAATAGGAACCACAGGAGGGGTAAAGATCAAGGCATGACATAAGCAAAAGTGAGGGTGTTGTAAGGACCGTGTAAGGTAGCCAAGACAGTAGCAATCATGGCGATCCTGTAGAGACAGGATGCCAGTTTCAACATACAGGCTTAGGGTAGGAGTCGAACAAAAGGCACCAGAGCTGAGGCGTAACCCAGTATGGTGCAGATCGTCAACACGGAGAAGAGTAGAAGGAGAAGACGACGAGTAAGCAGGACAACCGTAATCGAGTTTAGACAGAACGAGAGAGGAATGTAGAGAGAGGAGCATTTGCCCATCAGCTCATACCCCACAGGGTATGTTGACAGTTGAAATCACCCAACAGGAGCACAGGCTCTGATAAGAAGTCCAACAGGTGGTTAAGATCAGGAAGAGAAAGTGGGACATTTGGGGGTAGATAAATGGAACAGACTGTATTCCATTTACTCACAAAGATATAGGCCACAGAACATTGGATAGGCGACAAAAAAAAGTAGGGGGAAGAAGGCAATATCACTATGAATCAAGAGAGCAGTAGAGTTATGGGCTCCAGCAAAAGCTGTAGGGGAAAGAGAAAGGAATAATTGCAAAAGGGACAGGATGAGCACCAAGCGTCGGCTCCTGGAGACATACATAAAGTGGTGAAAACTGTATTATCAGAAGTTGGAGTTCATGAAAATTGGCATAAAATCCACAAATCCATTGAAGAATAGACATTATCAAAAGAAGAGAGAACAGCAACAGAGAACAATGAAGAGACAAAGGCAAAGAAGAACACAGTATACTAAATAAGATCAGGATCAGTGAAATCAGGGTTAGGGAGTATGGGTAAATTTAGCATTGACAATGGAGTCAAAGGAGTGGGAGGATGGACCAGAGGCGGACGGACAAGGTCCGGAGCTTGAGGTGGTAATGGAGAATCAGGGAAATCAGGGAGAGGGTTGGCAGAAACAGGGAGTGCACCTCAGCAAGGGCAGCAACAAAGAGAGAGAATCGAGGGCTAAAGGAACCTCCATAGCTGGGACAGGGGGGCTCGACCACCAAAATGGGAGGGGGTTGCAGTGATAGAGTTGGAGTCAGAGGGTGGGGAAGAAAGTGATGCCTTCCTACTTGCTGGGGAGGAAGGAGAGGAGCCAGGCTTACATTTCTGATTTAGAGGCAAGTGTGCCAGCAGCAACGTACTTGGCAACAATCTCCATAGTCTCAACAGGAGCGATCAACATTGAGATTGCTGGGAGGATGATGGACAACAGCCTAGACAGACAGGTGGCATGGAAAGCCAAGAGACAGGGGGAGTGGCTGGGAAGAAAGATCGGGGGAAGACAGGAAAGAAGACACAAGACACGTGGAAGACTGGGAAGGAAGGAAAGAAATGTTAGATGGAGAACTAGAAGCAGGACCCCTTGGGTCAGAACGTAAAGAAGCAGGGAAGGAGGCGGTGGGCGTGTCCGAGTCCAAGGCCTGGAAATAGTTGTGAGACTGAGAAAGGAGGGAAGGGCAAGGAGAGGTGGAACACGACACACGAGCATAAGATGTGCTAGCGAAAGAGTTTACTTTTAAAAGTTGTTGATGAAATTAACGTCAACAACCTCTTCCTGGAATGCATTCCAATTGCACAAAGTAAATAAAGGTTGCAGCAGATAAACAGCTCATAAAATAGGCAAAAAGAGTTTCAGGGTTCTGAAATTATCAGGTCAGAACCCATACCAATGGGTACAAGCTGGAAAAATTTTCCTTTAGAAAGGATATAGGGAAGTACTGGATAAGAAATAGGTTTGTGGAATGAGTTGCAGTGTTGAGACAATCACATTAATAGATTGGCTAGGTAGATGGATGAGAGGGGGTGAACTGAAATGGGACCCCACCTAATATGAACTAGCAGGCTTCTACAGTGAGTCCTAATTCTTATGTTGTTAAATATGGCCACATCCGTGCTGTCACTGGGGGCAACGGAAATTGGGATGGAATGGATAAGGAACTGGACTCGGTCCATTCAGGTGGGATTACATGGTATATAAATATTATCTCATAAATGATTTCACACAATGTCATTAAACAAATATTTAAAAAAAAAAAAAGTTTTTTGTTCTGGACTCAAATTCACATCTTAGTGATCACCATTTCATCACCATTTCATGTTGCTTGGATAGCCACAACATAACAATTACAACTTAAGAAATTCACCAAGGAATCAACTAAGCATTGGCAAACTCTCACAGCTTCTTTTGTAGAGTGGCAGAGTGGTCAGAGCACAGATAAGTGTGCACTGTGTAATATTTGCCTCACTACACTGTGTGAATTCATTGCCGATTTTATATTTACAGTATATATGTATTTATGTAATAATATAATATACACATTCATTTATTTATTTTAAAGTGATTAATATCATTTCCTAACTCATTATTACTGCATCCCTCGCCACACACAGGAATGTCAAGAACTGACACCTTACAATATAGTAACAGGAGACTAAAGAGTATACAGCAGTAGGCAACCTGGTATTGTAACCTGTTATTGTGCACTGACTGAGACTGGACTGTCTTCTATCATTGGTTCAGCACAAAGGCCCACACAGTAGCTGAACAACTGGGCTGCATTGGAAATATATGAAAAGCCTTCTATAAAATATGAGGCATTGAATGAATCACATTACATAGGTTTGCATTTTAACTTGACTGTTACACCTGAAGCTTTTCCAGTGGATCTCACTTCACTTTTTATCATTATAAATGGCACAGTCCTTCACACTCTGCCATTCCCTGTGTTTGTCTCGTGCAAAGTATATTACTGTAGGGAAAATAATGTACAAACAGGCTGATACGGCCACCTCAGCATTTAACATTGCTCAATAACTATTTTCCTTAAAAATACTCCTATGTGCGTCTCTGCTTCTCTTAACTTATTTCTCATTGCTTTCTTTCACCTCACTGAACACAGTAGCAGCATATGTTAAAATTCAGTCAAACTGTCATAGAACAGAAAAATATCCATATGCATTCGTTTTTGCTACCTTCAAGTACTCACATAACATTAGGTTCATCTTATTATCTCATATACAAAAATGCAAACTTCACTTTACAAACATATTTCCATCCTATTTACTCTGTCCATCAATATGATGAAAACTTCCAAAACCCTGGCACTCGGTAGTTTTGTACTAACAATTCCTTACTCTACATTAGTGAGACATTGGTAAAGTTTTATAAGAAAATCGTGACACATGAGATTCTCAAAATTTCTTGCAAAACTTCCACACACTACTATTATTATAACTACAGTAAATTCCTTAGCTATAATCGTGCAGTTATATTATTTTGTCTGAAACAAACATTTGTAATTCTTAACTTTTCCTTACCTGTTACAATCGTCTTCTATTTTAGTTCTGTTCGTATTACTCTGCAGGCAATGACAATGATGTTCGTATTACTCTGCAGGCAATGACAATGATGTTCGTATTACTCTGCAGGCAATGACAATGATGTTTGTATTACTCTGCAGGCAATGACAATGATGTTCGTATTACTCTGCAGGCAATGACAATGATGTTCGTATTACTCTGCAGGCAATGACAATGATGCTCATATTACTCTGCAGGCAATGACAATGATGTTCATATTACTCTGCAGGCAATGACAATGATGCTCATATTACTCTGCAGGCAATGACAATGATGTTCATATTACTCTGCAGGCAATGACAATGATGGTCGTATTACTCTGCAGGCAATGACAATGATGGTCGTATTACTCTGCAGGCAATGACAATGATGTTTATATTACTAGCAGTTATGATCATACAGTATTACTAGCTGTTATGTACATACTGTATTACTAAAAATATACAAACACCAATTCTTTTAGCAAATGGAGGTTAAAAACTCGTTATCACCCATATAGTTGTTGTTTTCTATTACTTTCTTGGAGTAATCAGCCACAAAGTTCGACATGCCAAACAAAATGTCTTACATTAGTATAACAGTTTAATAGTGGCTTCATTCGTATGTGTAACTCCTATCCCTATTAACATTACTCTTATGTTCTTTGTACACACATTCTTTTGAATTAACATTGGTATTATTATTATATTTGGTGACAGTTACCGCATTCCGCGTCTGTATAAAAGAAGATATCGGCAATAATAGCATAGTTATTCCAAATTATTTAGTAACATTAATTTAGAAACATTAAATTCCACACAACTCTAATGTACTGTACTTCGTTACTGTATCAGCATGTACCTCGTTACTGTACTGTATATGCATGTTAAATTCAGACAAAAAAGCAACAATAGTCAAAAATGATTTCATTTGTTTGATAATGTTGCAATACAAACAGATTCCCTCCAACTTTAAGAGTGATACAAATTAGACAAATGTTGTCAAAGTACAGTACTGTACTGTATTAGATTTTTGAGGATGGATATTTTAGATCTAAACAATCACCGATATATATACAATTTTCATTTATGAACCACAAGGACATTTTTTCCTAAATGTATCTACATTTATAAGTGTACTTCCCACATTTAAGGCAGAGGCTTCCACAAAGAACCCTATCAATGGGAAATTTTATAATGACACATTTTTGCCTCTCTTTGTTGCTGTCACAGAGAGAGAGAAACAAGTTTTAACTCAAATGGCTTCAAATGAATCACAAATGCTGTAGACAAGTCATTCTACATACGTTGAGGATGGAACTAGTAAAAGAAGGTACTCCTAGCATAACATTACTCACCTATAGGTCTCTACATTTAAGGAGATTTACCAACTATTGAACATGGATACTTTGGAATGGTGCCCACTCGATCTCCCTACCCCTTCATAAAATGACATCAAAATGTTTATTAATAGCTGCTGAGGATACGAAGCTTTCCCCATGTTGGGCTGTAAATTCTCCTTACTAACTCTCAATGTGTTACTTATATGTATTAAATTTTTGGTCTACAATTTATTACAACTTATACAACATTACCTTTTTTGGTTACCCAACTATATCATTAAACATTCATTCCCTTTCACACTCGACTCAAAACTGCTATGAAATACCCATTCGTAATCTCCATCAAATATTCGTCCAAGAAGCCCTCTCATAATTACGCTTCTATGGCTTCTATCTCATCATCTACTACTTTAATTTCCAATCCTATGACCTGGAGTTTTTTTTTTTTCTTTTTTTGGGCTATAGTCTGGCATCACAAGCTTCTTTTGCAATCAAACTGAGGTAGAGTCTTAATGAGTATCCTGATCTTGTGGCATGAAAACTGTGAATTTTACTAATTTTTAAAATTCTCCTCCGAGCGAATTGAGCATAATTTATCGTGAGTGTATTTTACACTAACAATAAATTATACACAAGCCACATGAGGAGAATCTGGCAGTATTAAACAATTTAACTTTCTTTTAAGTTATAATTTTCAGCAAAATATAAATATACTTCATTATCATCATCTATAAAAAAAAAATGTACACAAGTTGCTCCAATAATGAAGTATGTACTGTACTTAATTAAATAAATATTGACAGGATAATGTTTTGTGAATTATTTCCTTCCTTCAAATCATGAAATTAGACAAGGCTTTAAGTAGTGTCAGTTTCTCAGTTTCCTGAAAAACATTACAGTACACCCCCGAATCATGATGGGGATATACTGTATACCCCCGAATCATAATGGGGTATACTGTATACCCCCAAATCATGATGGATATACTGTATAACCTGGAATCATGATGCGGGTATACTGTATAACCCGGAATCATGATGCGGGTATACTGTATAACCCGGAATCATGATGGCGGGTATACTGTATAACCCGGAATCATGATGGCGGGTATACTGTATAACCCGGAATCATGATGGGAGGGTTATACTGTACAATCCCAAATCACAATGGGTAAAAATTGGCTCTCCCATTTTTTCAAAGGAGTTTCTAATGATGTAAATGAGGGAAAATGTTGACACAGCATGACTACCATTACATGCACACAAGATCAAGATGGTTGTATTAATCTTAACACAATTTAAACTATTACTTCACATGGGGCAACAAAACATAACATAAAACATAAATATTGCAGCAGCATCGTTATGTAGTGGATACCTTGGACTTCGTATATCATAAGTTACGTAATGTATTACAGATACGTTCTACTGTACATTTATCAATTAGGGTGTTATTGCTCTACAACACAGGGATGCATACGACACTTATCTAATACATTATCTATGTACTGTACTGTATATTATTGAAATGCCATGCTTGCAGACAGCTAAAGTATACATGACCCTTTATTAGGTGTGCACCCTTATTTAGGTGAGCTTGAATCATCTCAGATCCCACACTCTCTCCTAAAGTGGGTGTAAATTGCTGTCTAGTATGGATTCAAGTGACACTTTGTGATTTAATAATAATGTAAATGTTAAATCTTGATGCTACCCTGAGAAATGCCATGTTGCACATAGGAAAGCCTACAGCATTCCAGGAACAGCATAACTAGTGTCGCTGAATATCAATCTTTTGCACACATTAAATACACCTGTCAGAATACTATGTACTTGTGCATTTCACTAGTCAGAAGAATAAAATAATGAATTTTATGGATACAATATTCCTATGGCAAACAAAAAACAAAAATAATACAGTATTCATGTATACTGTACCTAAGTTTTAAGTATTGGAGATATTAAAAATAAAGCAAACTGGGTGTTTTTTTTTTACAGGTAATCCTCATACGAACTCTTAATCATATAAAAAGCATAAAAGAACATTACTGTATTCACAGACATAAGATCTCATTCATATACCAATGAAATAAACATTAAATAATATACAAATGGAACTGAAGTCTCTATTATGTCAATGATTGTACAGTGTAAGCACTGAACCATACGATCATCAACATAATACAAATGTTTTACATTATACTGATTGATGCCATATTACTAAATAATTCACATGTTCTCTAGGGGGTTACAAAGGGTCAACATAATGTATCAGGGACCTTCACAAAATCTACACACGGTCTCTGTGCTTTGAGAATATTCAGTGATGTCACGGCCCTCAGACAATCCAAAATTATCAGTTACTCCAAATTTAGAACAGTAATCTTAATTTCAAGTGCACATGGACCACAACAGTCTATATAATATCACTTAAAGTTTTCAGCTGCTTGAAATATCAGTATAATATTATCAATTATTTTCCTGTACAAGCAACTATTACCCTTTTTTTTAGCACTTATATCTAACCACTATTATGTAAATATGCTAATGTCTCTCTCTATACATAAACATTGGAACTTTATGACATCAAATATATACAGTGTGTTGTATTTCAGGCCAATGTAAAGCAGATCACCTTCACACACCTCGAGCCTCGAGACTGCAACACTCAACGGATGTCCACCATGTGTGCGCGTGTGTGTGTGTGTGTGTGTGTGTGTGTGTGTGTGTGTGTGTGTGTGTGTGTGTGTGTGTGTGTGTGTGTGTGTGTGTGTGTGTGTGTGTGTGTCTGTGTGTCTGTGTGTCTGTGTGTCTGTGTGTGTGTGTGTGTGTGTGTGTGTGTGTTGACTTGTTTCATACTCATTATGTTCTTCTGGCTGATGAAACATTCATCTTGTATTCTTCAATTTGTTTTTTAATGGATAACTTAAACTTCATGCTCTATGGTCACCTCTCCTCTCCGAGTTGAGCATTTTTAAATGAAGGACAAGAATCGGCTTCAAAACTCGTACTGTACTGTATATACAAGGTTATATCATGAACTAGTGCAAGCTGGTTGAAAAGAAATATACGTATGTGCTACACAAGAATGTTTGCTTGCATGAAAATTGAACCAAGTCGAATATAACTAATCTGAATCTGCTTATATGATATTAACCAATAATTCAAATTGGTACAGATCTTGAGGCTCCATTAATGATATATTATTATTATTATTATTATTATTATTATTATTATTATTATTAATTACTTTTACATTAGCACTCTGATTTACTCAAGTTAAAATGAATAAAATAACCCTGTGATATCAAGTGTTTGTGATCACATGGTCTAGGTAAAGGACTCCCAGTACCTGAAAGTGGGCCAACAGTACTGAGGTGGTGAGGCTCTGCTAAGGTGTCTCCACGGCGAGGAAAAGGGATGTGCTAAGGACAGGAACGACAACATTGCTTTCGGTACGTTGGGATGCGGCACATGTTCATCCTCTTGACAATGTTGCAGTACTTACTCCGATCCCGACACTCGCTCAACTCCTTGGTTTCCTCCTCACCTGAAGTAAAAGGGGTTACACTCCACTGTCAGAGGCAGAATTGAGATTATTATACATTGTTAACAACAGCATACAACTTGTTACAACACAGTACATATTAGTGCTACCAATATTCTCAAATTATTTTCTAATACATGTACTGCTATCTAAGCAGTTTTTTGTAAACTAGCTAGTTATATAAGAGGCAAAATGCAAAAGAAATTTTGCCATAAAAATTAGAAATCATGTATAGAAAATATTTAGATTATATATACTGGTACTGCTTTCTTGTTCAAGTTTTCCTTTGTGCCCTAGTACAGTACTAAGAAAACCTTATTTCAATAAACACACATGCACTAAATACAGTTTTGTGTTAGCCTGACCAACATTTACAATTCTTTAACAAATATTTAGAGAACTCATTTTCAGACATAAATATAAATATAGTACTGTCAGGTACAGGGTCTGTGGCTTCTGAAGTATCTCCCATGCTTTGTGTGTTGAGTTTCTCCACAAGAATGCTAAACCTTGGTGCTGTTCTCGGTTAAGACAGCTCCCAGCATGTATTTGTTATTTTATTTATTTATACAGTATATACAAGAGTTGTTACATTCTTGTAAAGCATTCTTGCACTCATAGCATTTCGGGCAGGGATTAATCCTAATTTTCCCTGGAATATGACCTGCCAAATCATTTAACAACCAGGTACCATTCACTGCTGGGTGAACAGAGGATACAGTTTAGGACTGGCGCCCAGTCAATCCTCCCCAGCCAGGATACGAAACCCAGGCCAAAGCGCTCGCAAAGCTCTGGGGGAAGTGTTTTACCAATGCACAGCCCATCCTCGTGTTCTGGTAGTACTTATAGTTACAATGAGGGCCATAGTACATATACCGACATAAAACACAATAAGAAAGTAGAAGTTGGTACTACTGTATTGATTTTGGACAAACCAGAAAAGATTTTCTATTTATGTTGCAAAGATAAACTAAATTAACCTAACCAAACCTTCCAATGTCTAATACATGCTATCTGAGGCCTAATATAGTACATATATGTGTTATACTAGGCCTAGGAATATTCAAATTTTTTTTTAGCTTCATTTTTTTGGACTATGAAGTGAATAGCGCAAAGTTTTACCATCTAATTGCTTATACGTCAATCTTTGTACTACAGTGCATAAAGTTACAAAAACTACTATCTAAACAGGAGGATGGGTTGCACTGTGCCCCAGGGACTGTGGTGGGGAATGTACTATCACAATAGCTTATGACCTGCTCAAAGAAAATTTCCCAGTTTTGTTCTATATTGTAGCTTGACAAGCCCTGAGTTGTGGCACTTGTGTCACACTATACACCTTGGGGGAAGGAAGCGGTGGGGGAGGGGGAATAAAGGCAACCCTTCATGATTTCTGCAAGTGCTCGAGACTTGAATCCAGCCTAGAATGAATGATAAAAGCCCATTCATAAAAACTCAAAAGCCCTTCTGAATCATCCCTCGGTATCACATGCTAAAGGAATATTCTACTTTGCATGATCAGGATGCACAAGGAGTGGCTCACATCACGGGATGCAGAGGTGAATGTGATGCTGCTGTCATAATACTGACACTGTAGCAGTATTATGATGCTGCTATGAATGCATCTCTGTTGCAAATTATGGACTGGATTCTGTGATCTCTAAAGACCCCAGTTAACACCGTCAATGACCCTGCACGACCTTTTCAAAAGTTCTCTGTGGTGTTCATGCCAATATGCTGTCCTGCTTAAATGTGCAATGAATCTTGTTCTATGGACACAGCAGATCTTCTTACCTTAGGGAGCAGCCATATGAGATAGCTCAGAACAAAGTGTAATCCGATATTAAATTCTTATCAGCTCAAAATCATTTGTCTGTTTTCACAGCTGCTGAACCACCACACGAGTGCCTGCCTGTATCTGTTATATAGTAGTATAACGTCAACATGAGCTTGTGGCCTGCACGAGGGCTCATTTTCCCCCCTACAAAATTCATACTTTATGAAAAACACTGAATCAATTTAACAGTGCTAGAGGATGTCGTCAGTTTCTTTTTAAATACTGTAGTTATATTTGTTCTTAGTTATGCATATTGAAGGTTCTCTCATTTAATGCAGTCTACTGATCAACATATTAATAAAATATAACTCATTTAAAAAATTACAATTCCATTAACTAAGAAGTTAAGAGTAAACCAGAGTAGTTAAATTGCAAATGGAGCACCCAACCACTTGGGCTGGACGGTAGAGCGACGGTCTCGCTTCATGAAGGTCAGCGTTCAATCCCCGACCATCCAAGTGGTTGGGGCACCATTCCTCCCCCCCCCCCGTCCCATCCCAAATCCTTATCCTGACCCCTTCCCAGTGCTATATAGTCGTAATGGCTTGGCGCTTTCCCTTGATAATTCATTCCTTCCTTCCCAAGTGCTCAGTTCCTGCGAGCTCTATGGACACCCATAGAATAATTTCAGAGATCAAATGGACTAACACTATGTATTGTACTGTACTCTAACAAAATAAGAACCACTTATGAGTGTTAAATTGAATATCTCCTGTTATCATCTACTGTACATGCATTTCGATGAGAATAACAATGTGGAGCTTGTGGCATATGAATGTGTGTACTCATCACAGCAATGGCTACTGTTGATGACCAGACCACACACTAGAATGTGAAGGGTCGTCCCTTCACATTCTAGTGTGTGGTCTGGTCATCATACTTTAGCCACGTTATTGTGACTCATCGCCTGCAATGGCTACTGTTAATTATATGGAGTGCACAGGTGAGAACACGATACTAGGGGATCCACACGTAAAACCGTGATTGTAGAGGGAGTCCCCAGGTGAGAGCATGATTTTGGGGGGGATTCCATAGGTAAGAATATGGTTGGAAAAGGGAGAACGAGACATGAAAGGTTGGAAACCACTGCCCTAACCCAACTACTGATCTTCCCCAGGATGCAACCCCTCCATTGCCAAATTCCCACGTACTGTACCTATTTTACTGCTAGGAGAACAGATGAAAGGAAACCATGCTCAACCATTACTGTGATGCCCAGTGGTTGAGTCTGAGCCCCCTCAATTGTGAGCCAAGGAGGCAATCACTGAACCATAGGACCTGCCCCTAATGTTATGTACTGTACTTCAAAGTCATCATCTTGCCCATTTGAGACTCCCACTTGCAGCGCGCAGTACAGCTTTGGGCATCGTATTAAAGCACAAACGCAAATTGTCTCAAAAGTATGCAGAGAAGGATATGTTCATCCCAAGTACTGGGACACTCCTTTATGAAGAGATTTTAGGAGAACTTCATTTACACTTTCTAGAAAGCAGTAGAGTAACAGGGTCATGAATGAAGTGTATCTTATTATCATCATCATTATTAGTATACTGTATTATTATTAAATTGTCATCCACACTTCCATGGAAATAAACTTTCCATTCACCTGGGCTCTATTAGACTCAAACCGCGGAACCCCCCACACGTGTGAGGCCGAAGCTCTGTCGACCGAGCTATAAGTAGTCTTAATAAGGAAAGATTCCAGAAGCAACTACTGCTGCCAAGCTGGAATTTTCAACTTTGCCATTCTACTACTGAAGCTCAGAGGAATTACTGACCCACACCCACGATATATATATATACTGAATTGTTGTCTATATGGCGCGGGCGTGGATCACTAATTCCTCTGAGCTTCAGTAGTAGGCTTTCTACAAATTCAATTATTTTTTGTACAAGAATTATGATTTGAAGGGTCTTTTCTAGCGATGAAACAGTACGATGCAAGAAGCAAAAAGGCATTTTAAATACTTCTCACAACTTAATTTGCAGGACATCACTGGCAAATACCTACAGTGCTCCTTCAAAAATTCAGATCATATCATTCCAGACCAGATATGGATTTCTGAAAATTGCCCCTTTTGGGCTGCTGATAAAAAAAAAATAATAATTTTTCTTATAGCAAATGACATACATGTTTCTGCATACTCAAAAATATAACAATATTAAACACTGATTTTGTGCATACAAAAAATAATTATGCAAACACTTTTAATTGTTTCACTTACCTTAATCAGTTTATAACAAGGATTTAGTATAAGTTATACAACCTGGGATTCTATTGGAACCAGTTAGTCTAGAGGCTTCTACTGAAGCCAAGTTTTACACATAACCTCCAAGCACGTTGGTGTCACTAAAGTAGTTCATAAACCGTACGCTCCAGCTTCTGAAGAAAGCGTACAGTTAATGAACTACTTTATCTTCACTAGAGTCCCAGGTTGTATAACTTTATACCAAATCGTGGTGGTACAAAAGGTGCGCGACTGCGAATTTTAGATCGCAGGTATTGAGTCATCTCAGTGCTCCAATTGATTTTCTCTTTGGATATACTGTACTGTATATTATGTTAGTATGATTGCTGTGTAAACAACTACCATCTTTCACAACTCAATGTTTTTAAATATAGTATTTCATGAAGCATTGATGAATGAAGTTTAGATTATAACTGCTAAAGAATTTTGTAACCAATATCTCAGAAAAATGCTTACATGTAACCACCATTTCCTGGAAGCACAGTTTCTAAAGAAAATGGTGTAAACAATTTAAAGAAATGGACAATAATTACTATACGTAGCTTACAAATACTGTACAACCAATTGAATTTCCAGACCTGTAAATTTTAGGAGTAAAACCCCCCTCAATATAAGTATTATCATACATCCTCGTAACCAGGGTGACTCTGCAAAGAACTTAAAGTTAGTTAGTACCATACACAGATTTTAAAAGTTAATACTGTACAAAGCACATAATGTATGTGAAAATCCAATGAGGAATAGGTAGAGAGAATATTATTTTACTATTAAATCTATGTCAAGCAAGGCACGAGGGCTTACAAACATGACCAGCAACATGTTAACTTTTAAAAGAAGAGCATAGCACTGTGAAACTATCAAGCAAGCAAAGTTATGAGATTACCAGTGAGTGGGTTACGTTTGCTGGTCGTGTCGTG